CTATGATGCTGCTTGGCCTGCTGTGTTCATCCAGCTCTGCACCTTGTTGTCTCAGATTCTCCAGCATCTGCAGTTCCTACTATCTCTAATCCCATTTAAATTGGCTGGCTCCTCAAAGTAATCAGCCTGCAGCAATGATTATTCATTGTCAACAGACCATTGTTTTCCAGTTGAGAAGTGCCATTGTCAAGAGCTTCTTTCAGCTCCAGAAAAATTTCTTCAGTCAATCATTGATTTATGATGACATTAACCTCTTTATAAAATTAGTGTGAAGCATACGTTGAACACTGTGCAAATTATCAGAGATAAAAATGTGCCTGCTTGCTGTTCTTTCATTTAAAAGGCAAAGTTAAGCACTTTCCCGAGTCAAAATCCCAAATAAACCAACAGTACGAAGTAATGGAAGTAACGCCTTTATCTCTGTCACTGTTAGATGTATAGTATTACAGGCTACTGCGATTCATTACAAAGGTGGCTAATTGCACAAGAGAAGGAAATCAGGAACAAAAACGAAGTTGCTGGAGAAGCTCAGCAGGTCTGGCAGCATCTGTGAAGGAAAAAACAGTTAACGTTTCGGGTCCAGTGACCCTTCCTTAGAACTGGGAACTTCTCCAGCAACTTTATTTTTGTTCCTGATTTACGGCATCCACAGTTCTGTTGGTTTTTATGAAGGAAATCAGATGCTAGAATGGTCACAATTGAGCAGTGAATAATGGCCATTTGAACTCAACAGAATTAACTCTGTTGGCCTGTTATTTTAGCACACCATAAAATTAGAATGTGATGTTGCCGCATGGCCGCAAATTTATTGACTCCTTAATCGAAGTGATAAAGTCACTTCACATTTACAGGGTAATATTCTGCGACTGAATGTCAGGGATAGATGTCACTACTGGATTTAAAGCTGGCCACCTTTTGAATTACCTTTTGCAAGTAAAGGATCATGCCTTTCAGCACAGCATAAAATGTCTTCCAACCTCTTTTGCCCCTGGGAGCTGCAATGAGAGAAATCAAACATTAGTAAGAATCAGATGGAGGAGGGTAGCTCGACAATCAATACAGATGACATTGCTCTGGCTGTGCATAAACAGGATGTGTTCAAGCAGGTAACAGTCCTTTTGGGAAACAGTCTCAAAACCACCGCAGAGAAAACAGAGTACAGAAAATGGATGATTTGAGAACGACTTAAAGAAGTATTCCAGGAAAAGACATCCACATTGTGAAAGTGTGTATTTATGACTGGAATGCTAACCACTAAAGTAATAAACTACAAAAGCAACTTCATCATCAGAGGTGAATGACAGAAGTGTGAGTGGTCAGTATTTGGCTCCAAGTATTGAGCTGATTTGCAAGTGTACTGCATACATTCACAGTTGAACATTCTCAAAATCCTGAACCAAGAGATTAAATATAATTCTCCAAATTAATCTCTTTCATTCATTTTGCAAAGTCGGGCTCTAATTATTTTTTAACTGGGTGTATTTTTGTATCTGGATTGCCAATTCAAAGGAAAGGAGTTTGCATAGATTAAAGCAATCAAAGCAGAACAAACCTTTGATATTCAACACAAACAAAACTACCTGATGTTAATTTGCACATTCCAAAATGATAGCATCACGTTTGAGGGTTTCATTTTTGGCAAATAGAGATCAGTAAACTAGATAAGTCTGACCTCCAAATGTCCTCGGGGTGTCTCAATGCACTTCACTACCAGCTACGAATCAATGAATGCACAATATCATCAGCTTTCTGTAAAAGCATCTCTAAAACAGCCCATGAGCACGTGCCTTTCTGCTGCTGTAGATTACTATGGCCATGCAATTGTAAAGGCAATCAGAAACTCTCCCAGAGTTCTCCAGGCAAGGGGATCTGTCAACTGACCTCAATACATCCAGAATATCACTGGTTATGCATCCAGATGGCCAAAGATGCATTCAATGAGATAAGATTACCTTCTACCTTTAAAGGTTCTGTGCATAGGTTTTGGGGTTTGAACTGATAATGATAATGCAAATCTATTGACTTATCCAAAACAATTTGTCATTAAAAGGTACAGAATGGATAACAACCAAATGAGATTATCTGTTATTGTAACCAAGCACTGCTTCAGGATACTGATTCAGACGAGGACTATCTAATCTGTGTCAATGTCAAGCATTGCTTGTGTACCAGGCTCAGCAATGAAGCCAGTTCAGAATTTGTGGCAGACGTTTTATATTTTTATTTCAATTCACAGAAGATAAAGTAGCAAATTGAAAAAAACAAAGACAGAACAATTTAGTTGCTGCCCAAAAGCAGAATCAGTGTCGAAACAAGTTTAGAGTGGATGGGAATGGGGAAAGGGATGGGAATGGGGAAAGGGATGGGAATGGGGAAAGGGATGGGAATGGGAGGGAGCACTCTTTGGGAAACCATCCTCTTGATTTATGGGCCAATTGCTTTTCCTGGGTTTCTTTGCTTGTGCGCTCATTTGAAATTTGGAGAGTACAACTGTAAAACAAATAAAACTTGCTTCTCAGGAGGGTGAAATGTATTTCCCAAAGCACAGGTTGCAGTGCTTGATTAGTGTAGCGCTAGTACTCTCTGATAAATTCACGTTAATATCACTATAGCTCAATTTTTGACATATTGTCAAGAAAGCAGCTCACCACCAACTTCTGCAATGCAATTACTGATGGCTCATAAATGCTGGCCCAGCCAGCGACATCTATATCCTATGAATGAACTTTTTAAAGTTATCATACTCATTTCCAAACCAAGACGGGCATTAATACGTAATGGATACAATTTAGATATTGCTGTATGTGATTACATTTCAAGCAGTATGCTTACAATCTTGTAACACAGAATGTCAATTTTACTTTTTGTGGACTTGCACTACTCCCAGGGATAGGTGCTTAAAAATAAAATCCTTTTTCTGCATTCCACTTCACCAGTGCTAGAGAACATCACAAGGTCAATTTGTGGTTCAACAAGGGAACCCTTCGGAATTGTAACCTTTCTGGAAATTGAGGTTTATTCCCATAATAACTTTCCATTTTCATGTTGTATTCCAAAAGGTAACAATGGGCATGGAGAATCTTTAAAATGGAAGCCAAAATACTATTAAGATTTTCTGCTTTAATGGACAATATTAAAGCTATTTAAAAATGACTGGATTATAGAATATAGTGAATAAAATCAGTCATTCATGAAGCACATAACAATTTATTTCTTGTCGATAACAGAAAACTTATTTCAAAAATATTCCAAGCCTAGATGTTCTATGGGGAAAGCACTAAAGTGCTATTCAATGGCACTGACTTAAAGTCCTAAATCTTATTCAAATGGGACTTTTTTTTGAATGCTAGACTGGACCAGGACATCTTGGAGAAGAGGAATAATGGATAAAGCAAGGGTAGGTTGGTGACCAGACGAAATAGGTTTACCAGAGATTATGATGAGAAATTGCTTTATGCAGACAGTTTTGATTATCCTGAATGCACTGCATAGAAAGCTGGTGAAAGCAGATTCAATAAGGATTTGCAAAAGGGAACTGTTTAAGTATTTGAAGTGGAAAACCTTGAAAGGCTATCTCAACAATGTAGATGAATTGGGCATAATTGGTTGCTCCCTGAAAACGATGGTGCAGGTATGATGTGCCAAATGGCCTTTCTCTATGCTGTACAACTCTATGATTCTGCCTGGTGTCACCTTACGGAAATTACCTGCTCATCGGACAACCATACACCATCCCTGAAGGATACTTGAAGTCCACAGGCTGAACAATATTGACCCGATTCTCCCACAACCTTCCACCCAAATCAACCAGCGACAAGAATGCTGAGTTAAACAGGGAGAGAGAAAGGAGAAAAGGGAATATGGGAAATGACCAATTGGCAAAGACTCACTTTTCTTTCCATCCATGTCTGCGTGAATTTTTCGTGAGAGGAAGCCAGTTTTGTACGTTTTAGCATTGGGATCCTGCGGAATGTCGAGAAATGGATTCGTACCAGATCCAATACGATTGTTGGACTTGGATCCAGCATTGTCTGTCTTGTCATTAGCAAGCTCGGAGAGCGATTTTCTCAACTCTTCTTCATTTCTAGGAGAAGTAAAAGGGAGGGGAAAACATTATATGTCGAGAATTATAACACTGGTTCTCCACATGGAATGCAATTCAGACCGACAACTTGAGACAGGGAATGCACAGTGGACTGAGAAGATTCTCCTTGTTCCTGGGCTAAGACAGGACATCTTACGCCTCCATTCTTCAGTGAATTAAATAACACTGCAGTGTGTGCACACTCTGGTCAAGCAGGTTACAAAACTCTCCGCAGATTTTAAAATCACTTGTCAGCTGATCGTAGCCAGGAATTGTAGATACAGCATATATAAAAGTTATTTTCACTGATTGCAAATGAAGCCAAATTTCTGTCACATATAATACCCTACTGGCAGCTAGATGCTGACGTTCCACTTAGCTATTTTAAGGGAAGGAGTTAGGCTGTTTATACCATCAAGACAAAACAAATTACAGTGCACACGGGAATGGGTGCCCCGCTGTTGGCTCTCACCACCTATTTAAGAAATGCTACATGATATTTCCAAAGTAGTCAAACTATTGTCACAAAAATACAAAAATTTGATTTAGAAGCAGGATTAGGTCGTCTAGCCTGCTCTCATCCCTTTTGCCTGTTTATGGAGGATCCAATAAGACACAAGATGTAGGAACAGATGTAGGCCATTCAGCCCATTGAGTCTGCTCCTCCATTCAATAAGATCATGGCTGATCTAGTCATCCATTTCTGTTTACCAATGTTCTGAGGAAGGGTCACCGGACCCGAAACGTTAACTCTGTTTTTTACTTCACAGATGCTGCCAGACCTGCTGAGCTTTTCCAGCAAATTTGTTTTTGGTCATCCATTTCCCTGCCTTTTCTCTATCACCCACTGATTAAAAACCTATCTATCTCAGCCTTGAATATACTTAATTAACCAGCATCTACAGCTCTCTGTGTAAAAGAATTCCACAGATTCACCACCCTCAGAAAGGTGAAATTCTTCCTCCTCTCTATAGTAATCAGGCGACCCCTTATTTTGAGATTATACCCTCTATTCCTACTCTCCTACAAGGGGAAACAACCTTTCCACATCTACCCTGTCAGTGACCCCAACAATAGTCTCAACACCACTCTCCATTTAACCTGACTACTCTCTGACTGCCTTGTTAATCTCTTCCTTAAAAATATATAACAGGCTCACATCATTGCACGTACTCTGCTCCTTTGATTCCTATATTAGATTCTTGGGTACAACAGGCAGATGGACTTTGAGATTCCATCTCCTACAGCTGGCAAACATGCTCAACTCTGTGGGAAATAAAGAACTACTGAGAGTTGTGACTGGTAAACTATTCATACATCAGTGATCTTTCTGCTGGGTTTAAACTACATCTCCTGGTTAAAAATCTGCCTCTGCCTCACTTGGCTAGCATTTGACTTTTATAAATTTCTACGCATACCAGCTGATGACCCGTGATACAGGGAATAATATGTCAGAGGCAGAAACGAACTGCCATTTTCAAGTTTTGCATTCTGTCCATTTGTTTAGATTTCTCAGATGGAGTCCCTTGCCTATATCTATAATGGAAACTTCTTGTGTCAATTGGAGGCCATGAAGGTGCCATACAAATGCAAGTTTATCCTTTTTCTTCTGAATTGCCTCCATTCAGCTGTTGGGACCACTGGAGTGGGAGAAGCCATGCTGTGACAGTGTGACATACTTAAACTCTGCGGATGTAATGAACTTACAAGAAAAGAATTCATCAGAAAGTATCGAGATATATTTATTCTGCTTGACATTGTTTACTGATTAGCACAGCACATTGTGAAATGGTAGATTGAATAATGCTCCAGGGCTAAACAGAACTTGCTGCTGTCTGTACCACATTCCATTCTGCCAGAAGGATTATGAAGCACATCTCAGTTAGATCATGAAATCTTACAGACAGTTTCTGAGTTGATAAAAAGACTTATAAAAACATACAGCTTTTAATATTCTTTTTTCTTGTTTTCGTATTAATGAGCTTCTGGGCATCGTGTAAATGGTTTTATATCTGACCGAAGGATCCAGGAAGCTCAACAAACTTTCAAGCTGAGTAATCATTGAAGCCACTCTCATCATTTTCAATAGCATATTGCCACAAGATGCATTACACAACACACGTTGGCATCCTACCAGGTTCAGGGATTGTGTTAGGAAGCAAGGCAAGTGGTGTCTTTTCTAATTAATTAATGTAAATAATGTTATTAATTTTAAACATTAAAGTGTACATCAAGGGTCAAAAATTTAAGAAATTTGCATCTACACAGGGCAAACCCAGGCCAAGGGAATGGTCTAAAAAGATGGAAGCCCATGACAGCACGTGGCATCTTGAGAGAATGTGAAGGAAACATTTCTGTGATTGGTTCCAGGAATGAGGGATTTTGGTTATGTTAATAGGTATTCGAGGCGCTGCTCTCTTTGCAGAAGACAGAGATGAAATTTGATGAAGGTGTTCAAAATCATGAGCGATCTAAGCAGAGTACTTAGTGAGAAATTGTTCCCATTGGCAGAACGGTCAAGGACTAGAGAATGTAAGAGAAGGCTATGGGCTTAGTGGTATTATGCTAGTCCGTAAATCCAGAGACCCAGGCAATGTTCTGGGGACCTGGGTTCGAATCCTGCCAGAGCAAATTTGAATTTAATAAAAATCTAGTTTTTAATAAAATTCTAATTAGAGTCACAGAGCTGAGTGGCACAGAAACAGATCCTTCGTCCAACTCATCCATGCCAACCAGCTATCCGAAATTAATCTAGTCCCATTTGCCAGCAATTGACCCATATCCCTCTAAATCCTTCCTATTCATGTACCCATCCAGATGACTTTTTAAATGTTGTAATTGTACCAGCCTCCACCACTTCCTCTGGCAGCTCGTTCCACATACGCACCAACCTCTGTGTGAAAAAGTTGCACTTAGGTCCCTTTTAAATCTTTCTCCTCTCACCCTAAATCTACCCCGACTAGTTTTGGACTCCCCCCAACCTGGGGTAAAGATCTCGGTAAAATAAATAAAACTAATTTAAAAAATAAGGACCTAATGATGACCAGGAAACAATTGCTGATTGTCAGGAAAATTCCATCTGTTTCACTAATGTTCCTTTTGGGAAGGGTGCTGTCTTTACCTGGTTTGGCCTACATGTGACTCCAGGCCCACAGCAATGTGGCTGACTCTTAACTGCCCTCTGGATAATTAGGAAGGGACAATAAATGCTAGCCTAGCCAGTGATGCTCCCATCCTGAATGAATAAAAAACACCTCAGATTTAAGGTGAGACTGTATTTTCTTTTCTCACCAAAGTGTGAGTGTACTTTGCTTGGGAACATGCTTTTGCTGCGTAACTACAGAGGGTTACTGTGGGCATACATTAGAAGGACCAGTTTTTACTGCTGGGGCGTGGTAATAACTGGCAAGGCTAGCATTTATGGCCAATCCCAGTTGCCCTGTCAGATAGAACAGAGTGGTTTGCCGGTCTACTTTGGAGGGCAGGTATAAGATTGGTGTAGGTTTTGGAGCCACATTTAGCCTGGACTAAGGAAGGACAACGGGTCCCTAATGTACAGTGGCAAACCAATGGTCAACAGACATCCTCTTTTACTGTTTTTTTACTTTTACTGTCTTCATTTCCAGTTTCCTGAACTAGAAATACACTCAGATTTGAAGGTTAATAAAGTAATACAAAAAGTGCAGAATTCCATGTTCCATCAACAAGAGTGTAGGAAAGTCCAAAAGCAGCCTACTCCATTCGAGCTCTGCCCAAAGACAGATCATCATAGAATCCCTACAGTATGGATGCACTCCGAGGAGCATTCCAGTCAAATCCACCAGCCCCACCCTGTCCCTGTAACCCTGCATTCCCCATGGCTAACCCACTCAGCCTGCACATCCTTGGGCACTACAGGGCAATTTAGCATGGCAAATCCACCTAACCTGCATATCTTTGGACTTTGGGAGGAAACCCACAGACACGGGGAGAATGTGCAAACTCCACACAGACATAGTCTCAGAATAAAGGGGTGCCAATTTAAGACTGAAATGAGGAGCAATTTCTTCTCAGACCACTGCGAGTCTTTGGAACTCCTTGCCATAGAGAGCTGTGGTGACAGAGTCCTTGTGTATATTTAAGGCTGAAATAAATAGATTCCATATCAATCGGGGAATCAAGGTTTATGGGGAAAGGGTGGGAAAATGGAGGTGAGGAATGTCAGATCAGCCATGATCCTATTGAATGCAAAGCAGGCTCGAGGGGCTGAATATCCTACTCCTCTTCCTATTTCTTGTGGTCTAAAGAAGGGGCTATTGCTACAAACGGCTTCGGCATTAACAGTTAATGGTGAAGCTTATTCAATGTAATAAATGAAAGCATTCAGCATCATATAACATAAATGATTTGAAGATGAAGATTTGAAATATGAAGTTAATAAACTTTGAATATAGAGTAAGACTTGAAAAATTGCCAGCTCTGTGGTAATAAACAGTGTATTTTAGACAGGCAATAGCAAGTGACATGGGGAAGAGAAGATGGCTCCATTTACATCATCGTGTGAAAACAGAATTGTGTGAATTTTCTCTGATCAGGTTATCCCACTGTCACAACTGCATTCTTTACAAGGTACATAAACCCCAAATTATAATCCTATCGTCTCTAAGAATCACATTTTCAAGGTTCAAATCTGCACATCTGTCAATGTGGCTTAAAGGAAAGTGCATACTACAGGCATATATTCACCATCATCAGCCTGTGTTTAAATTGATTGATTCCCCTGCAAGTCACACATCATAGCTGGTAAATCCAATGCACAGTCTGCAAACTCTGCCTTTGTAGGACAAGTGGTGTTCGAGGAGTTGGGTAGTTAAGTTGTTGGTTTGGGTGTACATGAAGTACTTGGACCACCATGGTTCAAGAAGACGAACATCACCACCTTTTCAAGGGTTAGGCTGGACAATAAAAGATGACTTTACTAATCAACATCCCCCAAATATGTCTTAAAGAATCAGTAACTA